CAACTCAAGAGCACTTCAGGCTCCCCAGCCTCTTCTTCAGGCTAAATCAGTCTTTTTTTTTAAAAAAAAAAAAACCCGATTTCCTTTCCCTCTCTTTCTCTTTCTCTTTTGTTTCTTTTCTTTCTAGCAAAATCAAAACAAGTTAATACACAGAAAGTTTTTACTTCAGCCACTTACTATTCTGCAGTCATCCTCACCTACCTCCTTCATCCCCTTGACAAATACATATCTATTTCCAGATGTTGTGAAGGAGATAGATTCAAAAGCTGCTTCAAAACATTGCTGATCTTCTTTCCCACCTGCGTAAATGAATATTTATCATCTTTACTTCTGGAAACTTTATCTTATAGAACTTTCCATAGTCTGCCCATATCATCACCGTAGATCCATTATATAGGTCATTGGTCTTGCAGAATTCTGTCATGTGATCTGTGGTGTCATTTCTCTCACCAAGGCTGTATTTTCCAGCTACTTTTCCTTCTTTGTTTCCAGCTTTTGCATTCTAATCACGAGTAGTTATCACTGCTTCTGGATTCCTAGATTGGTCAATTTCAGACTGCAGAAGGTGATAAAAATCTTCAGCTTCTCCATCTTTGCTGGTATATGGGTGTTATACGGACAACACTGTCCTTCAAGTTGGATCTTGAAATGTTCTTCTTGACAATGAATGTGATACCATTCCTCTTCAGTTTGCCATTCCCAGCATAGTAGACTATATGATTGTCCGATTCATAATGGCCAATACCAGTCCATTTCAGCACACTAATGCCTAGGATATCGATCTTTAAGCATTCCATTTCAATTTTGACATTGTTCAGTTTTCCTAGATTCATACTTTGTACATTCTATGTTCCAAGTACTAATGGATACTTGCAGCATTTCTTCCTGTTTTCAGTAGTGCCACTCAGAAAATGAAGGTCCTGAAAGCTTTTTTCCATCCACATCATTAAAGTGGACTCTACTTTGAGGAAGCAGCTTTTCCCCAGTCGTTTTTTGAGTGCCTTCCAAACTGAAGTGCTCCTCTTCTTCACTATATCAGCCAGTGTTCCTTTGCTGCTCATACGATTTTCAGTGGCCAGTTTTCCTGGAAGTAGATCGCCAGGTCCCTCATCCCAGTCTCTCTTAGTCTAGAAGCTCTGCTAAAACCTGTCCACCTTAGGTGGCCCTGCTAACGTTTGGAATACTAGTGGCATAGCTTCCAGCATCACAGCCACACCCAAGCTACCACAGTTCATCAAACTGACAGTTTATTGAGAAAATAATCAAAGAATCTGGACTACATAAAGAAGGATGCAGCCTCAAGATTGGAGGAGGACTCATTAAAAACCTGTGATATAAAATACCGTATAACATGGATGAATTTGGAGGACCGTTGTTGTTGTTGTTGTTGTTGTTGTTGTTATGGGCTGTTGAGTCAGACCTGACTCATAGTGACCCCTCCTTGGGTTGCCGAGGCAGTATTACTATGGAAGTAGATTGCCCAACCTTCCTTCCGAAGAGTGGCTGGTGGGTTTGAACCACCAGCCTTCCGGTTAGCAGTCATTATGCTGTGAGTGAAATAAGTCAATCACAGAAGGATAAATACAGTATTAGTTCGTTATTATAAAAAGTCAAGGAAAGGTTTATATATTGAGGGAACTTTCTTTTTTGTTTACCAGGGGTGAGGGAACAGTGCAAGAGAAAAAAAATGCATTGACCCATGGGAGGGGAAAAAAAAAACAATCTGTGATATTCAAGTGACACACCTTGCTTGCTAAAAATGAAGAAAACTTAAAGCACTTGCTAATGAAGATCAAAGACTATAGCTTTCAGTATGGATTACCCTTCAACATAAAGAAAACAATTGGACCAGTAAGCAACATAATGATAAACAAAGAAAAGCTAGAAGTTGTCAAGGATTTTATTTTACTTGGATCCGTAATCAACGCCCATGGAAGCAGCAGTCAAGAAATCAAATGATATGTTACAATGAGTAAATCTGCTGCAAAAGACCTCTTTAAAGTATACAAAAGAAAAGATGTCACTTTGAAGACTAAGGTACTTCTGACCCAAGCAACCATCATTTCAGTGGCCTTATATGCATGTGATAGCTGGACAGTAAGTGAGGAATATCTCAGAAGAATTGATGATTTCTACTGTGGTGTTCACAAAGAACACTGAATATGCCTTGGACTGCCAGAAGAACAAGTAAATCTGTCTTGGAAGAAGTACAGCTGGAATGCTCCTTAGAAGTGAGAATGGCCAGACTTTGTCTTACATACCTTGGACATGCTACCGGGAGGGACCAGTACCTGGAGAAGGGCATCCCGCTTGATAAAGTAGAGGGTCAATGAAAAGAAGATGACCCTCAACAAGATGGATTGATCCAGTAGCTGCAGCAGTGGGCTCAGACATTCTGGTGATTGTGAAGATGGTGCAGGACAAGGCAGTGTTTGTTCTGTTGTACATAGGGTCACTTTGAGTTGTACTCAACTTCACAGCACCTGACAACAACTACAACATTAACATCATAGCTACTGGACTGCAAGCTCCTTAGAACAGAATCTATGCTTGGTTTAATTTTATATCTCTCTCAGCACCTAGCAGAGGGGTCTGCTCATAGTAGAGGCATAAAATTATGTATCGAACAGTTAATTCTCTTAAAGATGATGTTGTGAGGTGCCGTCAAGTTGGCTCTGACTCATAACGACCTTATGTACAACTGAATGAAACACTGCCTGGTTGTGAGCCAGCTTCACAATCCTTGCTATACCTGAGCCCATTGTTGCAGCCAGTGTGTCAGTCCTTCTTGTGAACCTTCCCCGTTTTCATTGACCCTTCACTTTACCAAGTGTTCTTGTTACCTTAGTACCACTCTGACAGGGATATACCACAAATGGGATGGCTTTAACAAACAGGAATTTATTCTCTCACAGTTTGGAGACTTTAAGTCCAAGTTCAAAGTGCCAGGCTTTAGGGGCTGTGTGAAAGCCCCTCGACCTTGGGCTTCAGCTCTGCCTCTTGCTCCCAGCCCACTGAAGCTAGAAGCCTCTCTTCACTCAGGCAGCTAGTGGCTGCTGAGACTAACAAGCCCAAGGTCAACAAATAAAATAACACAGTCCTGATGTTACCAAACCACATGGCAGGCCATTAATTCATGTCCATTGTAAGTCCCACGGTTGGCAGAGCATGGCAGACTGCTGAACAACAACATGGCTACATGCAGGATCCAAGTGTGCTATAAGCTAGAGACTGTTCCCCATGGCTTCTGCTTATATATAGGAAGCAGACCACATCCCTAAGGCAACTACTCAGCTGCTCACAGTAGATTCCACCATGAGGTTGATTACCAGTCCCATCATGGGGAATACTACATCCAGCTGCCCAGCCACTCAACCAGGCCCAACCAAGTTGACACACAGACTTAACTACCACACCAAGCATGATATCCTTCTCCAGGGAATGGTCCCTTCTGACATGACCAAAGTAGGTGAGACGAAGTCTGGCCATTTTTGCTTCCGAGTGGCATTCCGGCTGCACTTCTTCCAGGAGAGATTTTTTAGTTTTGGCAGTCTGTGGTATTTTTAGTATTCTTCACCAACACCACAACTCAACTTTGGTCGTCCTTATTGTCCAGCTTTCTAATGCATATGAGGCGACTGAAAATACCATGGTTTGGGTTAGGTGCACCTTAGTCTTCAAGGAGACAGCTTTGCTCTTCAGCACTTGAGCAATACGTCATCTGCTTTCCTGACTGCTGCTTCCGTTGGTTTTGATTGTGGAACCAAGTAATATGAAATCTTTGACAACTTCAGTCTTTTCTCCATTTATTATGATAATGCTTATTGGTCCAGTTGTGAGGATTTTCATTTTCTTTATGTTGAGATGTAATCCGTACTGTAGACGTAGTCTTTAATCTTCATCACTAAGTGCTTCAAGTCATCTTCATTTTCAGCAAGGAAAGTTGCATCATCTGCATATCACAGGTTGTTAATGAGTCTTCCTCCAATCTTGATGCCATGCTTTTCTTCTTATAGTCCAGCTTCTTGGATTATTTGCTTAGCATACAGATTAAATAAGAATGTTGAAAGGATACAACCCTGATGCACTCCCTTCCTGATTTTAAACCATGCAGTGTCCCCTTGTTCTGTTTGAACAAGCTTCCTGATCCATGTACACGTCCCTCATGAGCACGATTAAGTGTTCTGGAAATCCCATTCTTCTCAATGTTATTTGTAATTTGTCATGATCCACACAATAGAATGCCTTTGCATAGTCAATAAAAACACAAGTAAACATCTTTCTGGTATTCCTTGCCTTGAGCCCCGATCCATCTGACATCAGTAATGATATCCCTCGTTCCACATCCTCTTTGAATCCAGCTTGCATTTCTGGGAGTTCCCTTTCAGTATAGTGCTACAACTGTTTTTGAATTATTTTCAGCAAGGTTCTACTTGCATGTGGTACTAACAGTATTATTTGATAATTTCCACATTCTGTGGAATCACCTTTCTTTGGAATTGGTACAAATATGGATCTCTTCTAGTCAGTTGGACAGGTAGCTGTCTTCCAAATTTCCGGGCATAGACTAGTGAGTGCCTCCAGCACAACATCGTTTGTTGAAACATTTCAATGGGTATTCCGTCAATTCTCGGAGCTTTGTTTTTCTTCACCAATTCCTTCAGCACAGCTTTGACTTCTTCCTTCAATACCATTGGTTCTTGATCATATGCTACCTCCTGAAGTGGGTGAACATCAACCAGTTCTTTTTTGTACAGTGACTCTGTGTATTCCTTCCATTTTCTTTTGATGCTCCCTTCTTCAGTTCTCTTAAAGATAGACTAGTTTAAATGTACTACATTTGAACTCTGATTTTTGATATCCCATTGTGTCATTCCATTATCTTTCACATGAGTGTCTAGATTTTCAAGGTACAAGAGAAGTCCATTTTTATGAACAAGTTTAATCCTGCATTTATTTGAATCTCCTCAGTCAGTGAATTTTATCCCCTCTTTCGGTAGCCTCGTGTGTAAGCTGAACACAAGGACCACCATACTGGCAGCAACTAACCCCAAAGGCCAGTACGACCCTCACGAATCTGTGTCTGTGAACATCGCACTTGGTAGCCCACTTTTGAGCCGATTTGATCTGATTCTGGTTTTGCTTGATACCAAGAATGAAGACTGGGATCGTATAATTTCCTCCTTTATCTTAGAAAATAAAGGTATGTTATGATAAGTTATTCAAAAGGACAAACAAGGATTAGCCATAAGCAAATGAAATTATCTTTGAAGGAAATTAAATAAATGCCCAGCTTACCCTACCTGATACACCCACTGCCACTGAGTCAATTCTGACTCATAGTTGACCCTATAGGACAGAGTAGAACTGCCCCAGAGGATTTCCAAGGTTGTAAATCTTTGCAAACTGTCTCATCTTTTTCCCCATAGAACAGCTGGTACATTCAAGCTGCTGACCTTTTGGTTAGCAACCATATGCTTTAAGCACAGCATCACCAGAGCTCTTTACCTTATCTAATAGGACAATAGGAAGAAGCTTAGACAGAAACCAATAAGTCAGTGGAGCCAGTTAGTGAACCCTAAAATAAGAAGCAGAAGGAAAGGGTTTTCCTCTACTTGCCACTGATGAGATAATCGTATAGTATGTCCTTGTAATGCAAGGGGGCAGTCTTATGGTATGTAATTATCACTCACCTCTTGCACAGAGAAACCGGGACTGAATTATAAAAGATCATTTTTCTTTGTAAAATAAATTATTTTTAGTCAAGTACTGTTTACTACTACTATAGGACAGACCATAATTATTTTGAGTAATTTTGTAATTTTAACCTCTGTAGGAAGCCTAACTAACTGTATTAAGTTAGATCCTAAGACTGATTATTCTAGAACTGTATGCTAAGCAAAGAACAGGTATAGCTATAAATGGCTACACAACCTGAAGGTCATTTTTTAAAAAATGAGTACAAGAACTTTATCAAACCTTTAAAATGGGGTGGTTGCCTGTTCTTGGAAATTAATGAATGATTGCCTCATGTATACAGGTTACCCAAGTAAATCAGAGAAGCTGTGGAGCATGGAAAAGATGAAAACCTACTTCTGCCTCATTAGGAATCTACAGCCCACACTGTCTGACGCGGGTAATCAAGTTCTTCTCCGGTACTACCAGATGCAGCGACAGAGTGATTCCCGGAATGCAGCCCGGACAACCATTCGCCTGTTGGAAAGCTTGATACGATTAGCAGAAGGTTTATTTCATTCAACCAAAGATATTTTTATTGAGTGCCACCTGTGTGCAAGGCATAGGGGTTGCCATCCTGAATTCAAAGATGAATAAGTACAGTCCCTACTCTAAAGTGACTCAGCAGCACACAACAACTAAGGTGCTCATACTGACTTGCTGTTAGTCACTTCCGACTAATGGTGATAACGTTTTCAAGGCTGTGAGCTTTCAGAAGCAGATCACAGGCCTGTCTTCTGAGGCACCTCTGGGTGGGTCCCAATGGCCAAGCTTTCAACTAGTGGTTGAGTGCTTGAGCGTCTGTGCCACACAGGGACTCCCAAGGTGCTCATAGTCACTTACAAAGTGAAAGTTCAGAGCTACAAAACCTCTGTTCTTCTGGGAATAGATTATAGGTGTTGAGTGGGATGTAGTGTCATTAAAAAGAGGAATCTTTGTGATATCCTGTAACTAAAGATATCATTTTGAAAGCCTTATTTATTGATACTTTGTTTCTCAGTGGCAGCTTTATTAGAAATATTTCAGGTGAATGAATTTCTTGTTTGAAATTGTTCCCAGCAGAGCATCTCTAGCTCTTGCTCACTAGTTGCCGTTTGTAACCCACTCCCGATCGTTATAACAACCAAATCAGCAATGCCATGCTTTATCTGCTTTCTAAGGTATAAGGCTTACATGCATACATACAACTAATATGCATGTCAGATCTTTCCTCACTAACATCAGCTTTTACATTTAGCCATTGTTTAAATAATTTTAAAAAATCACATAAACTGTGGAAAACATTAAACATATGGTCATATGATGAAATAATATAAGCTGAATAAAAGTAGCATAAAACAAATGTGCTGCATTTTTGCAAGGATTTCTAGCTAATATGGGGGCAAAAAATACCCAAAATTCAGACTTGCTAGTTTGGTAGTTTTGAAAAGCTCATAGATAAAGAGAAATATCAGATGAGGTTTAATATTTTTTCTGTTTTTGTATTTTTATAATAAATTAGAAACTGAGGATTAAAAGTTGTTGAATATTAAACATATGTTTACATAGCTCCTTTCTTTTCTAGAACCCAGAGTACTTTTTCATACAGATACACAAAATTGTCATGAATGAAACAGGAAAATTAGGAGCATGATTAGAGAAACAACCTAAAAGCTAGTTGAACTTAGACTTTTTATACTTGTTCTAATAGCTCATTCAAAAAATAATATTTTGGGGAGGGAAAGTTAGATAGAGAATAGTATTTATCACTGCCAATATTTATTTAGAATAAGGAACCAATAAGTCCTATCCTCATAGTTTCAAATGCTGTCTGTTTTTTTAGCTCATGCTCGCCTGATGTTTCGTGACACTGTGACTCTGGAAGACGCTATTACAGTGGTGTCAGTAATGGAGTCCTCAATGCAGGTAGGCATTTTTTGTATATCTAATATTTGAACCCTATTTACAGTTTTCTAGGGGGAAAAAATAAAAGACTATTTTATTTTATTTTGTTGATGTTGAAAATATATAAAGTGTAACACCAATTCAACAGTTTCTACATGTACAATTTAGTGACATTGATTACATTCTAGTTTTGCAACCATTCTCACCCTCCTTTTCTGAATGGGTCCTCTTCCATTAATATAAATTCACTGCCCCGTAAGGCTCCTATCTAATCTTTCCAGTTACTCTTGTTGCTTAGATCTCAGACAGCTAGTTCTTAAAAGAGCATAATGCTTGCAAAAAGGATGTGGCACGTCTTCTGACCTTCTCTAACTTCATGAGGGGGAGGCAGACTCAACCATCAGCAGCCCAAGACTGACTCCTATGAGGTCAGACGTGCCTCCACCCTTTGACCTTTTTACCAATTCTGACATCAACCGTGCCTCCCAGTAGCACTCTCTACTTCTCTGCTGGGTTTGATAATTCATTGCCATAACCACACAGAACTCGCAGACAATACTCACAATTATGAGGCTTATTAGAGAAGTAACAGGTTACGATTCAGGTTTAGGAACGCTCAGGATACAATTCTCCTATCAAGACAGCCTCCCCTCAGCCATGCCCATAAGCACACCTCTCTTTGGCTCTTGACCTCTGCTCAAGGAAGTGTTACAAAGCTCTTGCAGCTCTGGCAATAGGTGCACTCTACTCTGCCAGCAAGCCTCCTGCACCATGGTATTCAGCTTTCTTTCTCCATGGGCCAGCAAGCCCTGCTTTATCTCATGCAGGTCTCCTGGTTCCATTGGTTTTGCTGCCTTTGCTGCTGCTGTCTCTCTGCTATCTCAGCACAGGAATTTCAGGTCCAAGGATGTGCTCCACACCTGGCTGGTCCTGATAGTAGTGAGATCCCCCTTTTTGCCTCTGGGATGGCTTGTTTTAAGCCTAGCAAGATGGCAAAACTGACCAGTCCTCATGCTAGACTTCCGTATACCTTATTTGCACAGTCTTCTCCCCATAAAGGTACCATGTACCTTATTTGCATTAGCAAGCTATCCAGTCCCCTTGGTGGGCCACAGACACCTCATGTTTGCATAGTTCCACCCAGTACCTCTGGTGGGAGGCTCAGAGACCATGGCAGAAGAGCCGTACTGAGTAATTCACTGCACCACAATGCTCAAGGCAGACATTCTTTACTAGTGAAGCTAAACTATTGTTTGGTTTTCAGAAAACTCCAGGGGATATTTTTGGTTTAAGGTTTAAAGGTTAGCTCAGAGTTTTCTGGCTCCAGAAAGTGTGGAGTCCATCAGAATTTAAAATTCTGTTCTGACAATGTGGTACAAAACTCAAAATCATTTGGAGGCAAAAAAGAAAAAAAGAAGAAGGTGGGGACCAGGTTTGCTGGTCCAATAGAGCCTGGTGTAACCACTGAGACTATGGCCCCTAGCTGCCCTTCAGGTCTGGAATTGAACCCACACCTGTGGTTTCCAGCCAAACAAAGTACAGGCATGTGAGTTAAACATTTACCTCAAGTAGACACACGCCCTGGAGAGAACAATCATGGGAGAAGGAAGGGCTGCTTATGCACAGGGAGATAGCTCAGGGTGCAGAAGAGTATGAAGGGATGGACACTGGGAGGAGGTAACTATGGGGAGGAAGTGGGAGGGGAGCTGCTGCATTGTAAATTTTGGTCAATGACATGAGACAAATTATATGTGAACTGCTGTATGAAAAGTGAATTTACTCTGTAAATCTTCACCCAAATCCTAATAAAAAAAAAAAAAATTCTGTTCTGAATCTTCTCCCTTTTGATCAGGATTCTTCTGTAGTTGGATACCATCCAGTTCTGGTCTCATGGCAAAGAAAGCAATTGTTCATGGAGGCAGTTAACCACATATTCCATATCTTCCTCCTATTCCTGACTTTCCTTCTACCTCTCTTGCTCCAGGTGAATAAGACAATTTATTAATCTATCAAGAAATATAAATATATGATACAAATATGATATATAAATATGATCATATTGTAGATCTAATAATTCCTGGAAATATACCCAAAGGAAACCATTTAAAAGAAGGAAAAAAAAAATGTCAAGGAGACAATCACTGCATTAGTAGCATTGCTTTTGCCCATTGGTCTAAAACAGTGGTTCTCAATCCTTTTCTTCTCTGCACACCTGAGGGATACCCATGCTTCCACTAGTGAGAGTATGTGTTTGTAGATTAATAATCGCAACCAAGAAATGGGTAGAGGATTATTACATTTGAAAAAGTCTTCCAGGTGATTCTGACACCCAAAATGGGGTTGTGGAGGAGGCTGGTCTTCAGTGTGTTCTTGCCTCTGTGCACTCTGGCCTGGTGATTCGCCCTGATATTTTTCATTTTCTCACCCCTCAGGGAGGTGCACTGCTAGGTGGTGTGAATGCTCTCCATACTTCCTTTCCTGAAAACCCTTTGGAGCAGTACCAGCGGCAGTGTGAACTTATTCTGGAAAAGCTAGAGCTGCAGAGCCTCCTGAGTGAAGAGCTAAGAAGACTTGAAGGGTGAGGAAGGAAAGCCAAGAAAGGCATATGATGGGAAACCCTTGTTTGACATTTAATGAAATGAAAGAAGTGCAATTAAATGAAAAATCTGTAAGGGATTCAGTTATTTATTGCTATATAATAATCAACCATCCCCAAACTCAGTGCCTTAGGAAGAAAACCATTTTAGTGTTCTGAGAGTCAAAAATTCAGACAAGGTTCAATGGGGATGGCTGCTCTCTGCTTACATAGCATTGGCCGGGGTCACTCATGCACCTGCATTCAGCTGAGTGCTCCCTGGTGCTCCCTGGGCTTGGCTTTGCCTTTGGAGAGGCTGTTCATTTTGACTGAGCTAAGTTGCCAGAAACTGACATACATGCTGGATTCAAGAAAGGAGGAATGTGAGGCTCAGGATCAGTGTTGTAATAGGAAATTGGCAATGGACCTTCCCCAATATAAAATTACTCTCCTGGGTGGAAAGGAGGAAAAAAAAAGTAGATGAGGATCTAAAAGATAGAATTCTGTCCTAAAATGTTCTTTTTTTACTGATACTTCTTTTTAATGCAAAGGCATGTGCTGCTGACCCTCCAAGCAGCAAACCAAGTGTACTATAAGTAAAAGTGAATTACCTCCAAGACACAATCTAAAGCTAATTTTATCAAGTGAGAAAATCCGAGTAACATACTGGCTTTTTCCCTTAGGAAAGAGTTCTCGATCACTTAAGGGCATCACATAATTATACAGCCATCTGCATTTTCATAACAGTTTTCTTCCAGAAAGGAGCTCTGCTTGTGCTATGGTTAAAGCATTGGTCTGCTAAACAAAAGGTCGGCAGCTCAAACCTACCAGTTGCACCACAGGAGAAAGATGAGACAGTTGGCTACAGCCTTGGGAACCCTATTTGGCAGGTCTACTCTGGCCTATAGGGTTGCTATGAGTCAGAATTGACTTGATGGCAGTGGATAGTGACAGTCTGCCTCAAATTGTGGCCATTGTACCCACCTTGAAGTTAAAATAGATCTCAGAGATGCTGTCTTTTAGGAAGCTTTAGTAAAACTATAAAAATTTAACTTAATTCTTGAAATAAAAATCAGACTAAAATAAACCCAAAACTCACTGCCATCAAGTCGATTTCAAATCATAGTGATCTTATAGGACAGAATAAGATAGGCCCATAGGGTTTCCAAAGCTATATGTCTTTACAGAAGCAGATTGCCTCATTTTTCTCCTGCAGAGCTGCTGGTGGATTTGAACTGCCAACCAGGAGCTCTGGGGGCATAGTGGTTAAACCATTCAATAGTCTTTAACAATACCACAATTCAAATGCATCCATTCCTTTGCAGTCTTCCTTATTCATTGTCCAGGTTTCACATTGCATATGAAGCTCTTAGAAAGACCATGGCTTGGGTCAGGCACACCTTAGTCCTCAAAGTTACATCTTTACTCTTTAACACTTTAAAAAGTTCTTTTGCAGCAGATTTGCCCAGTGAAATAATTCAATTGATTTTCTGACTGCTGCTTCCATGGGCATTGATTGTGGATCTAAATAAAATTAAATCCTTGACAATTTCAGTTGTTTCTCCATTTATCATGATGTTGCTTATTGGTCCAATAGTGAGGAATTTTGTTTTCTTTATGTTGAGGTGTAATCCATTCTGAAGACTGTATAGTCTTTGATATTCATCCGTAAGTACTACAAGTCCTCTTCCCTTTCAGCAAGCAAGGTTGTGTCATCTGCATATAGCAGGTTGTTAATGAGTCTTCTTCCAATCCTGATGCCTCATTCTTCTTCATATTGTCCAGCATCTAGGGTTATTTGCTCAGCATACAGATTGAATAAGTATGGTGAAAGGATATAGCCCTGACACCTTTCGTGATTTTAAGCCATGCATTATTCATTTGTTCTGTTTGAACAATTGCCTCTTGGTCTGTGTACAGGTTCTTCATGAGCATGTTTAAGTGTTCTGAAATTCCTGTTCTTCACAAAGTTATCCTTAATTTATTATGATCCACAATGTCGAATCCCTTTGCACAGTCAGTAAACACAGGTAATCTTTCTAGTATTCTGTGCTTTCAGCCAAGATCCATCTGACATCAGCAATGATATCCTCATTTCTTCTGAATCTGGCTTGATTTTCTGGCAGTTCCCTGTCTCTATACTGCTACAACTGTTTTTGAGTTATGTTCAGCATAATTTGACTTGCATATGATATTAATGATATTGTTCAATAATTTCCACATTCTGTTGGATCACTTTTCTTTGGAATGGGCACAAATGTGGATCTCTTCCAGTTGGCCAGGTAGCTGTGTTCCAAATTTCATGGCATACATGTACGAGCACTAGCAGCATTGCCTTCATTTGTTGAAACATCTCAGCGGGCATCCCATCAATTCCTGGAGCCTTGTTTTTTGCCAATTCCTTCAGTGCAACTTGTTCTTCTTCCTTCAGTATCATCGGTTCTTGACCATATACTACTTCCTGAAATGGATGAACATTGACCAGCTCTTTTTTGGTACAGGGACTGTGTGTATTCCTTCCACCTTCTTTTGATGCTTTTCCTGCATCCTTCAGTATTTTGCCCATAGTATCCTTCAGTATTGCAACCCGAGGCTTGAGTTTTTTCTTCAGTTATTTCAGCTTGAGAGATGCCAAGCGTGTTCTTCCCTTTTGATTTTCTAACTCCAGGTCTTTGCACATTTCATTATAATACTTTACTTTGTTTTCTTGAACCGCCCTTTGAAACCTCCTCGTCAGATCTTTTATTTCATCATTTCTTCCATTTACTTTACTCTCCATTAAAAAGAAAATTTCAGAGTCTCTTCTGACATCCATTTTGGTCTTTTCTTTCTTTCCTGTCTATTTAATGACTTTTCACTTTCTTCATGTATGATGTTAATATCATCCTACAGTTCATCTGGTCTTCAGTTATTTTTGTTTCATGTTCATATCTGTTCTTCAGATGGTTTGTACATTGAGGTATACCAGGGTTGCATTTTGGCTCTCGTGGGCTTGTTTTAATTTTCGTCAGCTTCAACTTAAACTTGCGTAGGAGCGATTGATGGTCTTTTCCACAGTTGGCCCTTTGTCTTATTCTGACTGATGATATTGAGCTTCTCCATCATCTCTTTTCACATACGTAGTTGATTTGATTCCTGTATATTCCATCTGGTAAGGTCCACATGTATATCCCCATTTAAGTTGCTGAAAAAATGTATTTTCAGTGAATAAGTGATTGGTTTAGCAAAATTTTATCATGTGATCTCCAGTGTCATTTCTATCACCAAGGCCATATGTTCCAACTACTGATGATGATTCTTTTTTTTCCAACTTTCACATTCCAATCACCAGTAATAATCAATACATCTTGATTGCATGTTTGGCCAATCTCAGACTGCAGAAGCTGGTAAAAATCTTCAGTTTCTTCATCTTTGGCTTTAGTGGTTGGTGCATAAATTTAAATAATAGTAGTATTAACTAGGATTACTTGTAGGTGTATGGATATTACCCTATTACTGATAGCATTGTACTTCAGGATAGATCTTGAAATGTTCTTTTTTTTCCCCCCCATTTACCATTCCCAATTCTAACCCAGTCTCCTCCCCTCCCTGCCCAGTAACCCCCTTCTCCCCTCATGCCCCTCATACTTATGCACTCCTATGTGTCCTGCATTTTCTCCATGCGAATGTTGCCCCTCTGGTGCCCCACGGTCGATTGCCCCAAGGGATGCATTTCCATAGAGTATGTGGGTGCATCACCCTGGGTTGAGTGTTCTGCGTGTACATCTTGTTTATTATTGGGCTGAGAGCCAGCCCCTGGGATTGAGTTGTATTCCAGGCCCAGAATGTATCCCACGGCCATAGTATTAGGGATCTAACCAGACTCCATCCGACCAGTAATTTTGGTCATTATTGAGCTTTTGGATTTTGTTCCACATTTTTTCCTCCCAGTCTATCCAGAATATCCAGATTTGATTCTTTCCTGAGTGTTGACCTTGGTAGCTGGGCTGACCATCTAGTTCTTCTGGTCTTGAGGGCCATCGTGTCCTAGGGCTCATTGCTTCCAAATGAAATATTCCTTTTGATGATGAGTGTGACACCATTCCTCTTCAATTTGTTTTTTTTGGCATAGTAGATCATATGATTGTCTGATTAAAAATGGCCAATATCAGTCCATTTCAGCTCACTAATGTCTAACATATCAATCTTTAAGCATTCCATTTCATTTTTGATAACTTTCAATTTTCCTACATCCATACTTAGTACATTCCACATTCCAATTTTATTAGTAATTGTTTGTAGATCTTTCTTCTCAGTTTGAGTCATTCCCCATCAGCAAATGAAGGTCTCAAAAGCTTCACTCCATCTATGTCATTAAGGTCATCTCTACTTTGAGGAGGCAGCTCTTCCCCAATCTTACTTTGAGTGACTTCCAACCCAATGGGCTCGTTTTCCAGCACTATATCAGACAGTGTTTCCCTGTTATTCATAAGGTTTTCAGTGGCTAATTTTTTTCAGAAATTGACTGCCTCTTCCTTCTTCCTAGTCTTTCTTAGTCTGGAAGCTCCATGAAAACCCATCTACCACAGGTGACCCTGCTGATATTTGAAATACTGGTGTCATAGCTTCCAACATCACATTAACATGCAAGCCACCACAGTATAACAAACTGACAGATGAGTGGTGGTCAGACTAAAATAGTAAAGTTAAATTATTCCACTCTGTTAAATTCCTAGTCTTTAAGGACACTGTTATGAGAGTTTAAATGATCATGAATATCTGTAACCATAATTTAGGAGCTCTGGTGGCATAGTAGTGCCTAAGGCATTTGACTGCTAACCAGAAGGCTGGCAATTCAAACCTACCAACCACTGCTTGGAAGGAAAACTGAGCAATCTACTTCTTTAGAGATACCGCCTCAGAAACCCAAGGAGTGGTCACTGTGAATTGGAGATGACTCAACATCAGTGAGTTTGACCATAATTTGATGCTGAAAAGTAGTAGTAATTTTGAAAGATACTTGTTTTTTGTTTGGTTTTTACTCATATTAATAATGTTGTTGTTAAGTGCTGTGGAGTCGAACCCGACTTATAACGACCCCTCCTTGGGTTACCAAGGCGGTATCATTACGGAACTAGATTGCCCAACCTTCCTTCTGAGGAGTGGTTGGCTGGTGGGTTTGAACCGCCAGCCTTCTGGTTAGCAGTTAAGATGCCTTAGGCACTACGTTACCAGAGCTGCCCATATTAATAATAGTGAATATAAACTTGCTATATTGATATTTCCAAATCTACTTAAATGAATATAAACCAAATTTTTATAATTTTTTAATGTTTTATTATTATAAAGACAATACATGCTATGCATAGAGTATTTTAGAATTAACAAAAATGAATTAATAAGAAAATAAAAATCACATGTAATCTTACTACCCGGGAGCTCTGGTGGCATAATGCCTAAGGCACTTAACTGCTAACCAGAAGGCTGGTGGTTCAAACCCACCAGCCACTCCTTGGAAAAAAGATTGGGCAATCTACTTCTGTAGAGCTACCACCTTGGAAACCCAAGGAGGGGTCGCTATGAGTTGTGACTGACTCCACAGCAGTGAGTTTGGTTTTTGGAATTTTATTACCCAGCAGTATCTACCATTAACATTTTAATATATTTAAATTTAAAATACACTCAAATTTAATGTACTTTTTTGTATTCCTTTTTCTATGATTACACATAATTTTTAGAATAATTTACTATAGTGCTTTGGTTAATTCCTTTACACGTATAGTACAAGGAAGCAGGGTTATCTTACATCTTATAATAAAAAGGAAAAATTGGTGTTTTGGCCCTGTTTGCCCATTGTTGGTGATAGGAAATAAATATGCCCAAAATTTAAAGTGTCACCGACCAGATACTTATTCAGGGAGGGTAGATAGGTTTTAACTCTATGAAATTGATGGAGAGTGACTACCTGGAACATATGTTGAAGAATGACTGGGCTTAACAGGAAAATCTGTCACAATTGCCTGAGGATATTTGCTGTGAATGCCAGAGGGGATAGTAGGAGCACCAGTCTAGAAGTATCATAAGTTCTTTACTCCTGCGTAAAGTGACATTTTAGGTGCACTAAAATTCATTACTTCCATTAGGTAAGGTGAGGTGATGGATCATAATCTCAAGTCTTTCACTTTGGTTCTTGTCTGCAAACTGGCCATTAAACAACTAGAACAACAACTTTCTTGGTTGGCAACCAGCTACTGTACAGTATAGCCACAAGTCTCTCACGGTTGAAGTTTAACATGTACTTTACACTGACCTAGAAACAACCTTCAGTGAATTCAGTGGACTTTTGGAGACATCCACAAATGGAGACAGATAAACCTGTTATTTCATTTTCTTCATTTTATGACTATTTTAGGCTAAATTAGAATGATTATCAGAACACTTAAATTGTCTACTGATAGAAAGAATACTTTTCTCCTGCTGCTGCTCTAAGAGACTATGTTGTGTTGTTGTTATGTGCCGTCGAGTTGGACCCAACTCATAGCGACCCCTCCTTGGGTTTCCGAGGCAGTATCACTACGGAAGTAGATCGCCCAAC